CCCCCCCGCTGGTTAAAAGCATTTACTGCAGGGGGCAGGAGCGCATTTGTAATATGAACCACCCTAAAGCCTCTGTGTATCCTAGATGGGCAGAACTACAATAGTAGTACTCTGTGAAACAACCAGTAAATAAAAGTAGAGAGAATGTGATAAAAATAAAAGATTAAAATGAACATAAACATATGAAACATGGAACAGAGTGAACTGAAAGAATAAAAGATCATTTTAATGTTACTGAAGATTTATTTTTTCACTCATTTACTCAGATGTTGTTCATATATAAATGTATTTACAGAAAATGACGCATAAAGCAAAGTGTCTTTACTTTCCTAATAACAAACATGGCATTTCTAACAAAGCTCTGGAACTTATTTAAACCTGTATATCTGTATATAAACCTTATTGAATTCATATTCAGTAGTTTGGACGTTTGTCTTTGACCACTATCTTTATTTGTTTAGACGTGCTAGCTAGCTCTGGCAGGGTCACTGATTAAACTAAATACAGGGGAACAGCTTGTAATTATTATTACTACTATTACTGTAATCATTGGTAGTAGTATTTCATAATAATTTTGACTGCTATATCAAAAGTATTTCTCATTCTGTCATTATCTTTCCCCCACATTAGAAAAGAACACACTCATGATATTCAGTGATGGAGCTATTTTGATCATCTCCTTTAGCTTTGCTATGGCTGCCCATGTGTTTTTACCCTGGGTGTCTAAGTATCGGGTGGACATATCATTACAGCCTGAAACTGTCGGGGGCATTTGCACTTCATCCACTGTCCAGTTGACATGGAGTTTCTCAGTGCTCAGTTCTTTATTGTTCTTTATAAATCCTGCAATATGAACTATCAATACAGCAGGTAAAATGAGTTTTGAACAAGTCACCAACTTTCGAAGCAAATATATTTCCAAAGGTGCTATTGATGTGAAATTTTCACCACGTGTCAGTAACAACCCATCCAATCCACACATGAAAATCCCAAATCACAGGCAAGTACATTTAAAGTTTGCTGAACAACATTTAGACAAGCCTGTGAAACACTGGGAGAGTAGAGTCTGGTCACATGAGACCAAAACTGAACTCTTTGGATGCCAGAATACACCCCATGTTTGGAGGTGAAAAGCAGTGCACATCACCCCAAAAACACCAAACCAACAGGTGGGAACATCGTGACGTGGGGCTGTTTTTCAGCATACAGCACTGTGATTCAGATAATTAAAGGATGAGTGGAAAAATGTCCTGAGAGTCTTGATAAAAACCTGCTGCCACCTACCAGGATGATGAAGATGAAACGAGAGGACAGTGATGCCAAACACAGCCAACAAACTCGGTTAGTTTCAGAGAGACAAACCAAAGCTGCTAGAATGACCCGGAACCTTCTGGACTGTGTGGCAGCACGGGTAAAATCACACCTGTCACTGTGACTAGTTTCTGCATACAGCAGGCGTATTGAAGCCAACAAATGCTTTTGTACGACGTATTGAATCCATTTCAGTAAACATGTTCATTCCCTCCATGAATCGCTACCTTATTGTGGTGGAGGGGTTTGTGTGTTCCAGGGATCCCAGGGCTATGCTGTCTGGGGGCTTCTGCCCCGTCAGGGTCTCCCATGGCAAATTGGTCCTAGTGAGGGACCAGACAAAGAGCGATTCAGAAGACCCCTATGAGTAGGACACCAAGGGAACAGTTCACCCTGCCCAGGGTAGGGTTACCGGGGCCCCGTCCATGAGCCAGGCCTGGGGAGAGTCCCCGAGGGCAAGCGTCTGGGGGCCGGACCTTAGTCCATGGAGGAATAGCCCGAAAAAGGGGACATGGGTCTCCTGCAGGCCCACCACCCCCAGGAGGCGCTATAGTGGTTGGGTGCATTGTGTGCCGAGCAGCAGCCAGGAACAGAGACCCTGGCAGACCAAACCCCGGCTACCAAGACTAGCAACTTGGTACATGAAATTTCACCTCACTTTTGGGGAAGGAGCCTGAGTTAGTGCTTGAGGTTGAGAGGTACCGGCTAGAAAACGTCGGGCTCACCTCAGTGCTCGGGTTGGGGAACGGGTTCTTACTGTCATTTGCGCTTATGCGCCGAGTGGCACCTCAGAGTACCCAGACTTCTTGGAGTCCCTGGGCAAGGTGCTGGAAGGTGCTCCACCTGGGGACTCTGTTGTCCAACTGTGAGACTTCAGTGCTCATGTGGGCAATGACAGTGAGAACTGGAGGGGCGTGATTGGGAGGAAAGGCCTCTCAGATCTGACCCCAAGCTGTGTTTTGTTATTGGACTTCTGTGCAAACAACAGTTTGGCCATAACAAACACCTTGTTCGAACATAAGAGCGTCCATAAGTGCACATGAAACCAGGACGCTCTAGGCCGTAGGTCGATGATCGATTTTGTAATCACATCACCGGACCTGCGGCCATATGTTCTGGACACTCGGGTAAACAGAGGGCTGAGCTGTCAACTGATCACCACCTGGTGGTGAGTTGGATCAGGTGGCGGGGGAGGATGCTGGAAAGACCTGGCGCCTAAACGTGTAATGAGGGTGCACTGGAAACGCCTGGAAGAGGCCCCAGTCCATGAGATCTTCAACGCACACCTCCGGCAGAGATTCAACAACAGGGAGACGGACAATGAGTCCGAAAGGACCATGTTCAGCATCTCCATTGCTGAAGCCGCTGCACTGAGCTGCGGCTGCAAGGTGGTTGGTGCCTGTCATGGTGGTAATCCCTGAACCAAATGGTGGACACCAGAGGTGAGGGAGTCACCAGGCTGAAGAAGGAGTCTTATCAGGTTGTTGGCACGCCTCTACAATGTTGTGTGCAGCTCAGGGGCAGTACCTCTGGATTGGCAGACCGGGGTGGTGGTTCCCATCTTTAAGAAAGGTGACCGAGTGGGTGTTCCAACTACAGGGGGATCACACACCTCAGCCTCCCTGGGAAAGTTTGTGCCAGAGTGCTGGAAAGGAGAGTTCGTCCGCTAGTCGAACCTCAGATACAGAAGGAACAATGCGGTTTTCGTCCTGGTCGCGGAACACTGGACCAGCTCTTTATCCTCTCCAGGATACTTGAGGGTGCATGGGAGTTTGCCCAACCAGTCTACATGTGTTTGTGGACTTGGAGAAGGCATTGGACCGTGTCCCTCAGGGTGTCCTGTGGGAGGTGCTGCGGGAGTATGGGCTGTCTGGCCCATTGCGACGGGACATTTGATCTGGGGAGAGGGAGGTCTGGGCTTCTCTGCTTAGGCTGCTGGCCCCGTGACCCGGTCCCAGATAAGTGGAAGAAGATGGATGGATGTTCAATACTTGTTCCCTGTGTCATTTCTCGTTATTGCACATAATTTATGGATATCTATGGTTTGATTTCTTTGCATGTGTGGATTGGATGGATTGTTACTGACATGTGGTGATAATTTCATGTTGATAGTGCCTTTAGAAATCAAATCAGAAATCTTTGCAACCATTGTAGCTCATTTCTAAAAATAACTTAAACTAACATCAATGCCTGGTTACATCTCAGCTGGATTACTGTAACTCGCTGTATCTTAACCTGCCGACACAATCTAAACTTAGATTTGGTCTGTGGCCGTGTGGTGGTTCTGTTTCAGCCAGGAAGGCTCAGGGGTGAAGGAGACTGAAATGTGAGGAAGAAAAAGATCTGCAGTCAGAAACAAGTTACAGCTTTAGCTCATTTTACTGAAAAACGTGTAACAGGAGTTGGTGAACCAGGTGCCCCTGTAGCATTACGCTACTACTGTACATACAAGACAACACTCAGATCAGTCTTTGATTATACAATGCTTCTAATGAGTATGTTCATCCATATATAATGTAAAACCAAATGGTTCTGGGTCACAATGCAAATTAAAAGTGTTTACAGTTGTAAAAAAACAAACAAAAACCCACACTTGTTTTGGTAGTTGGGGATGAGCCCGATTAGGGCTTTATTCCTGTGTAAATCTTATTTCATCCATATGGTCTCCAAGATAGTTCGAGCCAACCTTCTTCATGTGCCACATTTAGAAGGCTAGTGTCTCAGATCACTCCACATTTTAACCAATCACACCAAAAAATGCACGTTTTTGGTGTAAAAATACATTCAAATGTGTAAAACAAATCATGTCCCTCCATCTTTGTCCTGTGCAATGTTCCATGCTGCGGACCCATTGGTGTGGAGATTCTTGGAGGATGATAATGGATCTAACAGAACCGGCCAGTAAGGGTTCCACGCAGACTGGAGTGTTACCAAACTGTTGAAAGGTTTTGAGAAAAATAAGATCCCGCTGCTTGAAGAATAAATGCCTCAGAGAAAACTCAGAGCTGCTGCAGGAAAGTGAGTTTGCAAAAGTTCATTCATAAAAACCCTGTTTACCTGTTACTGCAGCTAAAAAGACACCTGGGAGTGACGAGCCGTGCTGCTTCCTCTACAGAAATCTTCATGCGTTTCATTCAAGGAGTATTACAACTTAGCATCCAATCACAATCAATTCTGTTGAAAGTGTTGCTCTTGACAGAATCCTCTGTGCTGGTCTAATGCTGGGTCCAGATGACATACAGTGTGACCTGAAACACACAAACCTCGATCCTTCGCTGGCAGCACAGGGGGATTAGACAGATAAAACCTGGGCATGGCATCTGTGTCAGAAAAATTAAGCTAAAGCAGAAGTGCTTAAAAACTTGCATTCTATTATAGGCCACCAGATGGCGATAGCTGTGGTTGCAAAAAGCCTCCCAGAGCTGGGAAAGTGGCGGTCTCCACCTCTGCACACACCTTCATACCCAGTTTATGATCTCATTCACTGCTTTTGGGTCAAATGTAATAAAAAAAAAATTTAGTTTGCAAATCTTGGTCATACTACGTTTCAAAGTGTGTTATCATTGGCTGATGACAATCAGAACCCCCCAGCCCCGCCTCAGGTTTTTTGCAAACCAATGGCCCAGGAAAAGTGAAAAACTCCTGGCTCAAAGGGTGACATCCCAGTGGCTAGTTTCACACACTGACGAATACAAAACGAGATTCATTTTTTCATCACGGTCTCCATTAGAATCCAGGAGGAAGATAAATCCAGGCATGTCTTACTGTGTGACTTATAAGTCACTACTGTCTGAGTGTGCATCACCCCTCGGTCCATGTGACATCTGGCTGCTAAACTAATGACCTTTAGCCCAGTTATGGACCTCCCCCAGGTGGGACAAGAGGATAAGGAAATGGGTGAATGGGGAAGTGATGCTTCACTAACTGTAGAGGTTACATGCTTCTGTTATGTACAGTATATGGTCAAAGAACACACCTAACACAACATAGCTCTTGGCCAAGATGATGGAAAATACCTGACAGAGTGACCAGCTAATATTGTGTAGACAACCTCATTTTCCTGCCCAGGAGAAAACAACAGAATCTCAAGTCTTTGACCTTTGATCTCCTTTTACTGACATGTTGTTCAGAGTCAGCTGTCCAGTGTGAAATGCTGGGAAATCACCGAGGGTTCAGACATTCTCCAAAACAGCAGATTCCACCGTTCTAGGCTATCGACTCTCCCACTTGGTGAGGTATGAAATATTAACACAGGTCTCTATACAACGTTTTATTTGAACCGTGAAACATATCAAATGTATAATGTCATCCAAAACATTTTGACCAAAATTAACATTTAAATTTCAACATGGATTAAAATATGTGAACAAAAAAAGGGAAAAATCACAAACTAGATCAAACATTCGATTTGGCTTTTGGTGGCACGCTTCTGACAATCCCAACATCATAGTGAAGTGTGGCCCAGGCCTACACTCTACTGCTGGGCAGCTTCATCAGGGTGGAGGGCGTCACCTGTCTGTCATAACATCAAACATTTTTAAAGTCTCACAGGCGTATAAAAACGGAGTGTAAAATAAAGCTACAGCCAAGTCAGCCTGCAGCTGAAATCATGAAGCAACTGATGCATTCAATGTAAATACATGAAAAGAAGCCCAACTTAGACTTTCTGCATCACAACATGTTATTTGGTCCTGGACTTGGATGCACAACAGGAGGCAAACAGACGCAAAGGGCACGCGGGGTGATGGGGGGCTGCACGCAGTCGGGGGCTCCGCAGCTGCTCGTGAGTTAGCATGTTAAGGTGCAAGTGTGCTCACAATATCCTGAGTACAAAATCTTCATCACATTGCGTCTCCCACTCTCCTGCCAATGTGAAACACACTGTTCACAATGCATCGATGGCTTCACTGTATTTTAATCTGTGTGTCAATGTGAAACCTGAGGAGCTACAAAGTAACAGTACGAACACGGGACTGACTCGTCTTTGGGTGGAGCGACTGTGTCGGACGAACATGTGCTGCTCTCTGATGGTTACCCGAGGACGACCCTGTCACGCTCAGTGTGTCTGTGACGGACATGAACCCTGAGCTCGAGCTACAGTCGGCAAATGCTTGGAAACGTATCAGGAAACGAGGTTTTCAAAGGGTCGCTGTGGGAATGTTAGAGTGCATGAATGTGTGCGTGAGGAATGAGCAGACGAGCTCCCGGAGCGCTCGCTGAAACTGAAAGCAGACACAGGATGTAGGGAAACGCACCGTCAGGTCGGTTTGACTCCACATTTATAGAGCCAGTATGAACACTGTTACATACTCAAACCTGCCAGAGCTCCATGTTGTAGTTGGGAAACAGAAGCATCATATCCTGGTCCAATCCTGGACTGTCAGCTACACGGAGGCATTTTAAAAGTGATGCAGTAAAATCAGTCAGTCGGGCTGAAGCATTACACCTCCTGTCACAAGCTAACAGCTAGCACAGCGATGGTCTCTGCAGATCATTTTTACTGTTTCATTTCATAAAAAGTGACCATGTGGTGACAGCGCGTCAGCCTCACGGCACGGTCGGGTCAGATGACCATCAGGTCACCAGCAGCTGGTTGGTGAACCTGGTCACAGGTACGTAGTGCTTGTTAGTCTGCAGTTTGCATGGAAGATGCTGACGTGTCTGCACACACCTGTTGGCCACGCCCCCTGCAGAACTGATAATGTGAAAAGTGCGGCTGGAAACACAACGTTCCCCTTCAGAGTAATAGCTGCACCTTAAATGTGTTGAGGCGCAGCTTTTACTTTGAAGGAAAAAGTTCTCCAATTCCAGACGGGACACACTTCCCACAGCTCGGAGGTAATTAGAAAACTGCTAAGTCAGCATATTCCAGGCAAACTGCGAGCAACCCTGGCAATCACAGGGAAGTCACGTAGCAACATGACAGCTAACAGGAAGCACTCACCGACCAATCAGGGAGCACGCTGTGTTTTTTAATCTGGTGACTGGAAGTGGAATCATGTTTAATGTGGTGGACAAATCTCAGACAGCGTGTGATGGTGATCATAAATGATAATTAGCATCAGACGTACAAACTTTTATATACTATGGAATCTATTTGTCTTTATTTTAGCTCAATAATAAGGAAAAAACAGAAACTATGGGAATGTTGTTATCCGACGATAGCCTAACGCTAACGTGCTTCTTATTTCAGCTGAGAAATAAACTGAGGATCCAAATCAGAACTTCCCAAATGTAAAACATTAAGACGCAAACATGTATTTGGATGCAGTGTGAGGATTGAAAGAGCCTCAGTCTGTACGGAGGCAAATACAGCAGAACAGAAACATCACGACGAGGCTCCGCAGAGAAAAGTAAAAAAGTGCACACAAGTCTTAGGCCATCACACGCCAGGACTTCCAAATGCATCCACACGACATTAAAACTAAGTACATAAAACGAACCGCCGCCTCATGAAAGCACAGACAGCAACACTTTGTCGAAGCTGTCGTCAGACGCGATCTCATCCAAGCACGAAGCAAAAGGGAGCTGACGACTTTTGGAACGTGAAGAGAAACCGTCGAGCAACGTTTAGGAAAGCCTTTCCTCCAGTGTCGTCCCGTCTCTAAGAAACATCATCAGGCAGAAACGAGCAGTGAAAACAGACCGATGTGTGCGACCTGTTGATGATGGCGCACAAACCAGGAATCGCTCCCCTGCTGCAGGAAGGTCAAAGAGGCAACAACTAAGACTGTTCCTTCTTAAGACTCACAGCTTCGTGCTGCACACACTTTGTTTCAGAGCGGCATTTCTTGCTGTCACGCTTCAGCCCAGTCACGCCCAAGTTAGCATACACGTAGCCAATCAGGTTTCAGTACACCACCTGCTGACAGACAGACACTGATGACAGACAGGTGACCTCTGCCTTCGTCTCCACCCTCATATTTCAGTGAACCAGCCCAAAGACGACATGCTGCACAAACCAACTGTTTCTACTCAAACAGTCTTCAGGTTTTCAAATCACGATTTCAGGGGACAACACAAGTTTGTTCAAACCCGACGAGGTGGCAGATCTACACCTATACGAATAATGTGATGTACATTCAAACCATTCCCCGGGGCGGGTGAGTGGGAACTACGACAGGATGATGGTCGTTCATCATCCTTCAAAAGCAGAACTCCTTCTTAGCTCCACAGCCGGCAGCACTACACAGTGAGTTTCCTGTGTGGCACTCACTAAATATTTCCACACACACTGAACTTTGGTCCGTGGTACATTTACAACAACAGGTACAAAGAAAAAGCCACGTTTCTGTCTCCTTATAGTGAATAATGGCTGAGCGTTGCACGTCCACCAACGATGAAACACTAAAATCACCGTCCGTGTGTCGAGACATGATGGGCCTCCATCTCACGCTCCTACAAAGTGCATGTTTCTAAAGCATGTAAGGTGCAGGTAGGCAGCTCTGTGATGACTGAGTGATCAAGCTGAACAGCACGGGGACGCCACAGTTACCAGATGTCCATCAGCACCGTCTGCTGAGGAGGACTCGTGTTAACCCCTGTGGTGTTTTTGCTTTCCTTCCGAGGGGCAAAGTACAGGGTGGTTCCTAATTTCTGCAGCTACTACATAACCTACTACAGGCCTCTGCCCAGTCGTTTCCAGGATGCTGGGAGCGGGGGATGCTGATGGCCAAAGGACAGCAACAGGCTTAAATTGTTGGCCTCTCCCTGTATGGGAGTGGTGTGGCACTGAGACGGCACTGGGAAATGGAAAATGTCACTGGTGTTTCACTCGTGCTATGCTGAGGCTTCGAGAAGAGCCCGAGCAGCGGTGGAGGAGTGGGTGTAGTTTAAGAATCCACCTCTGGGAGGCTGCCTGGGTAAAGTAGAGTTTAAGTGATAAGCCCACCATCGGGGAGTGTTGACAGCAGGTTGGACACGTAGCTGGGTTGTTTGTTTAAGAGGTCAGAGTTCATCCGTCCGAGCAGTCCTGAACCCAAGCAGAGAAAAACAAGATGACGTAGGTACGAGCTTCAAACTCATCCCTGGTTGGGAGCTCAACGCCCACTCTCTGGGTAAATCCTCAGTTAGGAGGTGGAGTTTCCTCCTTTGAATAAATTCTGGACCCAGGCGAGGGGCGTGGCCTGATGTCAGGAGTCATCATCCGTGTCCTCTATCAGAACCTTGGTGTCACGAGTCTTGGACCTAAAAGGAGAAACAGGAAGGAAGCTCTTAAAGTGGGAACTCAAGTCCACGACTGATCACTGAGCTAATGTCGTCTGTCTCACGCGTGTTCGCACAGCCGTGGCTGCGCGAACACGCGTGTTGGGGCCACGGCCCTTTGAACACGCAGCCGTGTGACACACAACTTCAACACTGCTTTCACATCTTCCTTGTTTAATATGTTTATACTGGATATGTATGCACTGGGATCTACACTGTGTAAATTAGGTGGCATCAAACATACTGTGTATACAATCAGGCTGCAGGAGGCCCGTGGATCACCAGCGTCACTCAGTTCTCACTTTAACTGCCACAGACACATGTGGCGGTGCCTCTGCACACTGAGGCGCCGCCACATGTGTCTGTGATGTTTCTCTGCAATCACAGAATGACTGAATGCTTTAAACCTGAGACAAACACAAGATTTTACCTTTAAACATCCAATCATCTGTTTTCTGAGTCAGCGCTTTACGTGTGAACATAATAACCAGAGGTCTTCACAGGTTATCAGGCTGTGGTTTTACCATGAAACAGATTGCTATGCAAGTAAACCTCTACCTGAGATAGCTAACCTTTGCAGGACCACGAGCTAACCCCCCAGATATCACTGCGCTGACTGTATCTATAATAAATGACGTTGTAGTTTCTCTGTTTTGCACGAAGCTACATTGTTCTACGTGGGGTCGACGGCCTTCTGTGCACGCTGATGAAACATGCGTCTCCTCTGCCGTGACTGAGGCGCCCACGCCTGCACTCAGCAGGACAGACAGACGGGGAAAAGACTTACTGCGAGGCCAGGCGTGGCCTGCGCAGGCTCATACTGTAGCTCCTCTTCCAGCTCTTCTTGCCCTGTCGGTTTCTCACGCCATCCTCCTGGTCCATCATCTGCTCCAGGAGGGTCTGGTCGTCGGCGTTGAGCGGAGCCACGCTGATGTCTCTGACGGCTCTGAATTCACCACAGTTGTTCAGATGTTCGTTCTCCAAGCGGAAGAAGTTCCACACAAAGCGCCTACAAGGATCACACATTAACCCGTTACTGAGACTCTGTTACTTTATCACTTCCTGATCTAGGCCCTGCAGATACACAAAGTTAGGAATGAACTATGAGAAAAACCAAAGGGATGAATAAAGAAAAAAGACTCGGTGTACCGAAAGACCTCCAGCGGGGCCAGGACTGTAGCAAAGATGTCAGAGATGCCGTCAAACGTGACGAGCGTGGTGACGGTGACCGTTAAGATCCATCCGAAGCGTAACAGCACGTCCTCTACTATGGCGCTGTAGTAATAGGCCTGCAGGAGGACGCACAACAGAGCACGCGCTTCACATTCATGCTGTGTGACTACATAACAACACGTGCTGCTGCTGATTTGTGGATGACAGGGTTAGCAGCAGCAAGCCTGCTTAGTTCAGCCTGAAGTCCTGACATTTGGACACCGACTTTTGTAAAGTGGCCACAGGAGGAGCTGCAGCTTCTTTGTGTGGTGTAATACCTTGTGTGGATAGACTATCTCCTCTCTCAGGAAGGTGTTCTCTCCCGCGTTGCGGTCAAACAGTCCCCAGTCCATCTTCAGATCCCAGACCAGAGTGTAACACGAGCTCAGCGCCAAACAGCCAATATACAGATAGAAGAAGATCTGGGCCTCCGAGCCTGCGTCTGTGGGCGGGACATCAGAGTGTTCTCCAGTTACAGCCTGCCATTAGAGCTCCATCCCATAATAACAACACAGAGGAGAGAATGAGCTCAGGATGGCATTGCCTTATAACACGGCATCTGTTAGCCTACCTTTGTGTGTGCTGTAGAGGGCGGAGAAGGTAACAGCGAAGAAGGTGGTGGAATATTTGCCAGCATTAACCAGATGAGGGAAGGCCCGCTTGGTGTCACGGTAACGGCGCAGACACTGGACGAATCGGAACCACGCAGGAAGACACTTGATCACCGCCCGAACGCCATACGAGTACGAGTTGCACACATCGTTACCTGAAGAGGACGACATTTAGCCACCGGTTTGCTCCGACACGTGCGCGAGAGCAGCGAGCATCTCGGAGCCTCACCTCTGCTGATGAGCCCGTTGTGTTTGGTCCAGTCCAGCTCAAAGCTGTAGAAACAGATCATGTACTCCAGGTCCATCAGCACCACCACCAGAGAGTTGAGCTGGTCAGCCAGCCAGAAGTCTGCAAAGCCAACGCGGTGAAACGGAGCCGTCACCACTCGAAACTGCGGAGGAAGACGTCACAGGAAGAGCCCTCTTCAGAATAAAAGCTTAACCACACAAAAAGGTATGATGTAAAGGCTCTGGTCAGGGCCATTACCAGAAGTTTGAGCAGCCAGAAGCGTGACTTGTAGTAGCAGGTCTTGAAGGGGTTGATGAGGAAAAGGAAGAAGAGCCCATAGAGAGCCAGAGGGTTGGCCTGCATCGGCACCAGGATCTTGTCACTGAAGAGACAGGACAGCAGGCTTACGCACCACAGCACCCCCAGCAGACCTGCAATCTGCACACACAATGACTCAGTCAGCATCCTCTCCCCGTGGAGGGGGCCACGGCCCACAGATCGTTAAATCATCTCTATGAGAACACGACTTCTTTCTTTGGTTCAATCTGACCTCTGACCTCAAACAGATGCTGATGGGACAGGTTGTTTCTGGGGTTCAGTTCAAATATGAGCACATGGTTGACGCCTGCTTGCCTCCAGCCGTAAGTGTTGATGCCTACAAGACAAAAGAGTTGTTTTTTTAACTTCCTGTCTCTGATATGAGTTGATGACTAACTCGACTCCAAACTTGGCACATAAGCTACAGTGTGAGAGTGTCTGTGTGTCCATACCTAACAGGAAGAGGAATTCTATTAACAGGAAGCCTCCTCTGTAGATTCGGACCATAGGCCAAACATCAGAACGATCTGTCCCCACAGCTACTAATGACAAAGACCAATCAGGAGACAGCACCATCAATACCGAGCAAAACTGCACAGAGCAAAAACAAAGTGCCTGATGTGAGGAGTCTGCAGCATGTCTGCAAACAGACTTTTGTTTATCTGCACAACAACAAGTGGAAACCAACATTCATGATGGTTCTACTGGAGGATGGGACGGCACCTCAGTCATTTGTTTCCTGTGGATACTGTTACAAGTCAACCTAAAACCCCAAAACACAACTAAACAATCACAACAACACAAGTGAATACAAAGAAAGGCCAATCCTCTCTCTGCTCGTCCTTCTTCTGCTCCCGTTGTTGTGCAGATTTAAGATGCTTATCAGAGGTGGAAGTGTGCTGCTCACTCACAATTACGACCTACATCGTTTTCCACTGCTCCTGCCTGTTCCTGTGGAAATCATGAAATCTTTGTTTCTGATGTCAGCAGGAAGGAGCCTGAGCCTGGACCTACTGCAGGTTTCCTTCCACTGTCACTCGTCACATGACTGTTGGGTTTTCTCTGCGTGTGTCATTGTGGGGTCTACCTTACAGCACCCTGAGGCGCCTGTTAGGGTGCTGCATAAACAACACTGGTCTTTCCCTCCACAACTTTACACATTCACAGAAATGTATTACTGGTGAGTTACTGTGGTGAATACTTTCTCTCTTCATTCTCACCTGATGCCTTAACAATACGACTGTAGTAACACTAACTTTACAGACCGCTGTGCTGTCACGCTTGCTCCATCTTTCTCACCTCCCACCAGGATGCTGATATTCCAGAATCATTTATTTCTCCCTTCTCTCACAAAAGTCTCCTTTTTCCTGTGGCGTAATAAAGTATAATAATAATAATAATGGACTCTGGACTTTCTACTATAGGAGACAAAAACTGGACGGGTATGTCAGTTAAATCCAAAGAGTCGTGCTGACAGGTTTCTTTCTTTATCGTGTAGAAAAACAGTTCGATATGCGACGTCTTCACACTGACAGTAGGGGGCGCGTCACTGGTCCGTGGGCTGTTAGTGGCCCACAGTGTGACAGCCCTGAGCCAAACCATTAAAGCCATCTGAAACTTGCCCAGTGTCTGGGTTAAAACAGACGACCAGAATAACACTTACATATTTCTGGCCTGTCCACAAACACAGTCAGATTCCAGGAAGTATAAACGAGACACTTCAGTGTTACAAAGGTCACTGTGTTTTACCTGTGATGACCACAACGACCAATAAGACGAGGAAGACTCCGCAGTAAAGGCCGACTCTGAAGGTGGTCCAGGCAGGAGCAGGCTGTGGACACAGGGACACGGTTACAGCACCTGCACAGCTGTGCAGCGCGACCAGCTCTGCTTCTTCTTTTATTTTCAGTCACAGCAGCTAACAGCAACACTTCGAACATGCAGTACTTTGCTGTTCAGTATTTACAACACCCCCAAAAGACAACAGAAAGAAGGAAAACAAACAACAAACACAAATATTTAAATGCATAAGGGACATTCAGTGTACAGTTAACTATGATGGTGATATAGAGATATTAGCCGGTCCTGAGAAGGAACCTGCCAGTGTACATCTCATCTTTGCCAAATGCAAAAACCTGACGAGCTCTGCACGCCACTGTTCACGTGTGGGAGGAGCTTCCTGCTTCATCTTCAAAGCATAGGGCGCCTTGCAATGAGTGAAGCAAAGGCAACAGAAGTGAAGAGTATTTTGGCAGAGTGATGTTTTCAGGCATCATCCCAACGACAGCCGTCAGAGCACGAGGATCAGATTTAACGTTTATATCTGTGAAAGGGTGCTAAACACAGACAGCCAATAGTCATGAGGATCGGGGCACGTCCACAAAGTATGAAGGCGTGAACCTGGTGCTGCTTTACATCCGTCACACCGGCTCGGCTCCTGCAGAGAACTTGGCTAACCTTTCCTTGGAGATATGTAATCAGTGTAGGACCTTGAACTGCAGCTCATGCCTGGCACACAGAAGAAGAGTGAAGCCTCTGGAGAGAAGAGTTCATCTGTTATAGCCGACCCAGGGTCTCTGCCCCTGTGCTTTAAGGATGGAGAGAGAAGGAGATCTAATAATATCGCGCAGATTCCTTTAATCTCTTATGAATGTTCATATTAATCATTTTATCCAAAGACGTTTCCTCTGGTAGTTCCTGAAATGAAGGAAATCGGCTCTTTACAAACTGGAGAATTTGTAAACAGTGGAAAAAATGTTGCTGAGGATCATTAAACAGCTTCAGGAGCTGCGTGAACGAGGCAACAACCCCAGCTACAAAAAGGTCTTTGCCATTTCTAAGGCCTTTACTTTCCCGTATTTTAAAGTCCATCATGGAGGGTGGGAACATGTGATTTGAGCTGATAGGTGCTTTCATTGGCATTAAGTGTAACCCCAACCTTTTCCTACATTGCAGCCAGATTCTGAGCGTCATGCAGGGTTACACAGGTGCACAGATCTAATGGGAGAGGACTCAACAAAGCTCAGACTCACTTTGGAGCCAAGCTGGAGTCTCTGCAGTAGAACTACTCATCCAGTACAGCAGATATTTGCTGCCCAATAATAAGACTGAAAGTTTGGCCTAGTTCTCTGCATGAAATCTTTCGTGGACTTTTGCCAGTAAAAACAAATGCAGAGATACTTATTGGGTAAGTAGCATGGGACACACTGCAAATAAAGGAACTTGGGCCGTATGTTCATTTTGATAGGACTGATGCAGCCAGTTAACCTGTTAGCAGTCGGACGTACCGCCCACGGTACATTGGATGGTTTAGGGGACTAATTGGACTGCTAAGGGGTTAATGACAGCGGTAAACTGGTCCATCTCTGAAGATCTCGGTACTCTCGAGCTGCGCGACAAAGTGTCTTTCATAAAGAGCTTTCATCAATCTTCCTGGCTACAGAGTGGACACAGAGAAGGTCACTTTTATGCAGGTTCAACTTGTAGCCTGAAATATGGCCAAAACATTCAAACCGGCGAGAGCCCGAGGAAGAGAGCATGAAGGCTCTGACATCAGGAGGTCGTCAGCATAGAAGGATATTTTGTGCTCCCGGTCAGCTCTGAAGATGCCCTTAATGCAACTGTCAGCTCACAGTGTAATCACCAACGGTTTGATTGATAAAAAGAAGACGCGATAAGGGACATCCTGGTCTCGTACCACGGAGAAGTGGGAAATAAGAAGACAATAGCAGATTTGTTGTAACACGTGCCTCAGAGGTGAGGAGGAAAGAAACTGAACCCATGAAATGAAATTAGGGCCAAATCCAAATGTATTGAGAGCATAAAACAGATGCACCCGGTCAAAGTCATAAGGCAGGTTGAAAAAACCACGCCCACCCGTCACTAACCCTCTCTGATCTGGAGAAATTAACAACGAAGCTAACATGGCAGCCAGTGCTCACAGCAGCTGAGGGGTCATCAACAGAAGTCATCACCATATAAGCACATGATGAAGAAGGCGGCCCCAATCACAAAGACCACGCCTCTCACAGCGCTGAGCTGCAGGTAATCATCATTATTCCACAGTGGAAACTCGATGCTCCTGTAAAGGATGTGAGATGGAGACCGAGGCCGGGGTGGCAGCAGAGACGCCACCTGGTCTAAAATAAAGAGATAACTATGGACAAAGAGGAGCATCCCTGGATCGTTGCTGTGACATTTCCACAGAGAGAATTTAGACAGACAATAAAGACTGATACTTGCAGCACAATCGGCATGCTGCACCAGTTTTATGCACTTTTCTGCAAAGGTTTGTTGTTTGCACAAACTTGAAGTGAGCCATAAAAATCAAAGGCACACAGCTGCAGTGATCAGAACACCAACAATCTACATCTGTGTGTGTGTGACCTGTGCAGCTCCGAGCGGAGGGACCCTCAGCCTCTTCATGGCCTTCTGCCTGTCTCCGCCCTCCAGCTCCGTGGTGACCAGCGCCTGAAACACAGAGTTTGAAGGTCGGTCATCCGTCGTTCGTTTGGAGCGGCATCGCAGCTCCGCAGCTGTGGCCGAGGGGACGTGTCTCAATTTGGATGCGTGGAAGGTACCTCGGTCTCCGAGATGAGCTGGGTGATCTTCTTGCACGTGTAAAACGGAGCTACTTCAACGTGGGCCACCCGCCAGTCGGCTCCCCGCGACGTCTCCAAGATCTTATCGTGTTTCTTCAGGATCTTCCTGAAGCCCGTAAAGTTCAGGTTCTGTGAGGAGGGAGAGGAAGGTGCTGCCGTTAGACCTGTGTGTGTGTCTGTGTGTGTGTGAGTGTGTG